AAAGCTAGTTTAAATGCTTTCATTCAAATCCATTTTAAGGTTACGGATGTCCATAATTATGTTTAAGTATTAACTCGAGGTATGTTGTGTAAGTTGGAAGTCCGTCCTTGTTAACCTTGACACACATTTTATGCATATTTTAGACCTCGTTTCTTAAGTATTTGAAAGTCATAATCATCATACATTGATAATTTTATGTTGATTTCGTGCTATATGTGATTAGATGTTGATATCCTATTACTTGGCCCGATTTTTATTGGTTTTTGACCAGTTGACTCGCAACTTGCTCATTCTCGTCGTATTCTATGCTAGGCTGTACCTTCTTTCCTAATTTTATGTCCTAGCAAGTTGAGTGAGGTGTGTGACGTCTTGGAGGATTTTTTGAGCAAATTTGTATGTAAAGCATCATTGTGAACTTATTTCATGTTTTGTGGATGATTTATCTTGATTCCTTATGCTTGAGTTGAATATTTGGATTTAGGATTTCTAGACCTAAGAGAGGTGTCATTTAATTAGGTCAAGAACTATAACACTTATCAATAGAGTGAAGTTCTACCCCTAAAGCTCTAGGTGATTAGTCGGTTGCATGACCATTGAGCCAAGTAGTTCCCTAGAAGCGAAATCGAGTGCATGACCATTGTCTTGATTTCTAGATTAAGTTATTCGTGACAATTTAGAATATATGGAAGCCTTCATTGACTTGCATTCAACTCATCTCATCCTATTGCTAGTGGGATTCGACCCTAATCACATCTTCCCTCTAGTGATCTCCTCCAGTTGGTTTTACTTTTTTTTTTTTGTTAGTTTAGTTTATTTCACATTCAAAACTAATCATCTTGTTGAATAAATAGTAGTTTGAGATCAAAATTTAGTAGAATTAGAGTTCTATATGAATACAACATCATTCCACTATACCACACCACATAATCAATGCTTGCCTTTACTAGGCGTAGTAGAGCAGTAAAGCATCAAATTTATTATAACTTGAGCCCTATCACCTGATCCCTCGCAATGGATGTAACAATTGAGATTCGAGAGAGCATACATGACCTGTAAGTTGTCATCGAAGACGTGGTTGCTAACCGTGATTTAATTAATTAACCTCACTCTAGCAACTAGTAACACCATACTACATATTTGACAAAATTTTGGTTAGTGGGCATTGCTTGTTTAGTCTTGTCAAACCCTCCAATTAATAGTAGACTCATATTAGACTATCATTATCACCATTCTTGTGATTAACCTTTTATAATGGATCATTAAACCTTAGTTTATCCTAATGAAGCAGCTTAGCACTATCTGATTTATCTTGTGCCACTACCAACCATTTTCAAATGCATTCATCCAACATCGTATATGGGCTGGCGGCAGAAAAGACAAATCCATATGGTATTAGCTTGTAAGTAAGAAAAATAGCAAAGCAATTAGAGAAGAAAAAAACCATAAAGCTTGAAGAACCTCAAAGTGGGTTTGCTTTCGGATTATCAAGTTTATTGTGCATGGTAACTGGTAATTAAGGTAAGAAAGAAGGTAATGTTACCTTAGGGTTGAGACTACCATTACACATAATTTTTTCATATGTGTTCATGTAAAATATTATTGACATGTCATAAGTGAATAAAATAAAATTTTATTATCCGAATTATGATCCCTATCATGTTTGCAATATTTCTCGAATTCTTTTCCTCCTTCTGAACATGTCGTCCATGCATACAATATCAACTTCATTTACATCTAATTTGTATAATTCAGTTAAATTTTAAATAATTGTACTCCATCGTTTATACGGTTTTTTTTTATATTAGGTCAATCGTGTACCCAAAACATATATTACAAAAAATATTGTACACAAAACCTCCCATAATTTGATATTTGTATTTAACTTTTAATATTTCAAGTAACAACCCACTATATAAGGAGTTATGACTTATGAAGACAAATACATAGAGTGAGAGGATAAGAGGGTAAAGGGTTGAAAAAACCAATACAAGCCAAACAAAACCTATCCAAATTCCATGAAGGAGGTCACCACGTGGCAACGCGGGGGAAAGCCAGAGATTGAAGTTGAGTGTGGGAGAGGTGAAAAATGAAAACACCCTCATCAATGGAGGGACAGTTATCATCAAAGTTGAAAATGAAAGGTTCACAGAAAGGTACCATAATAAGAAAAAGCTGTAAATAATTTCAGTGGAAAATAGGAGAGGATCGGATCATTATTGCATTCGGTCTATTTAGTTCGGTTTGATCCGATTCAAATATTAGTTTGGCCCGATCCAAATATTAGTTTGGTCCATTATTTTTCTAGTAATCGTAAAATATATCAAGACCAAGGATCGGACCGTATTATACTCGATTTGATGCGGTCTGATCCAAACTTCGATTTGATTCGGTGCAATCCGTTACAGATCAGACCATTGCACACTTCCAAAGAAAAGATTATTAGGTGTACAGTCAGGGGCAGACACAGATGAAAGGAGTATGACATTCCCGTGAAAATTTCATATTTCGTCGTTACAAAATTTGAAATAATGTTTGTCTAAATTAAATGCCTCCTCTCATTTACTACTTTCCCAACTCTTGTTTTGTAAACATGCAAAGCAAAAACCAATCTTAGTCATCAATCATTATACCATATATGATCGAACATTATTACTTCTTTTGATTGAAGCATGTATCAACATTAATGCACACACACTAACTAGACTTTCCCAAAAAAAGAAGGCCATTACATTGATTGATTATTATTTCCTTAAAATTATTGTGTTTTCCCCTATTCTCCAACATATTGTTTTTATTGAGAGCTACTCTTATGCAAATTATATGAAATTCATCATTGACTTGAATACATTACTTGTAATGACTCGTAAAATATGGTTAGATTGCATATGCAACTTTTTTGTTTGTGTGGAATAGATCAATAACACATAAAAAGGATATAAATTTATGGCTATTTATCAAGTAGTTCAAAATCGAATAAAAACTTCAGTTAGCACTTCAAATGATCTAGCACGGACTCAATTGCTTGTACTAGTGTATGGAACATATAATTGTTCAAATATTTTTAGACAATTCAAATTATATATTGGATTAAGCGGGGAGGTCTAACGAATAATATAAGTGTTCCTTCTTGAAATTCTTCCGATAACTCGAGTTAATTTGACATACTTGGAATAATCTTCCTACCGTATTAGTTATTTGGACGAACTGACACATGTAATGAAACAATATAAATTTTTTCCCGACAACTCAAATTATGTAGGAGAATTGATCCATACTTCGAAAGACCGAATATTGCTACTATGTAGCATAATATCAAAATTGGTTTCATACTAAAACCATCAATTTTACATGATTCAGTTATCTGGATGGTAAGAGGAAGCTAATTAATAGGATGTTCATTAGAACTAATAAATTCGATGAATGGTATCTGAACACAACAACCTCATCCAGGAATATAGCCAATTCGGATGCAGATTAACCATCAATTAAATGAAGACATGAATTATATCATGAAAAAATGAAAACCGTTTTTCAAAGGTAGAATCTTATTTTCCTTCTTCAATTTGACTCTTCTTAAATTTGTACTCGATAAGTTTTTTTTTTTTGGTAGAAATTGTACTCGATAAGTTGTTACAAGTTTAGAAAATCTAGTAACCGAGAATTTAGTGATTTTAACAAATTTTTCTCTTATAATTTGAATTTTTTTATTTAAAAGTTGAATTTTTTTATCCAGTGTATATCATGTTCTTGTAAAAATGATTAATTATAACTTTAAATATCTGAATTAATATTCATTATCTTTATGAATGACTATATTCACACATGTCAATTGTCATATGTAAAAATAAAATAATAATGCGAGTAGATAAGGCAAAGTAAACAGTAAATCTGGAAAGTAAAAAAAAGAAAAAAAGTTAGATTGTGAGGTGTGGGGTGGAGTTAGTTAACTCTCCATATGAGCTGGATCCACTCTTTCAGGAGTGTCCCACCCCACTTTTTTCAAATAGGAAAAAAAAATATTATTACTTTATAATTTCTTATAAAATATTGGGTCAATTACATAAATGACCGCTCAATTTGGGGTTATAACAAATTGGTCCATCGACTTTAATTATTCAAATTAATTAATATTATCAGCGGCTTCATGTTCATTCTTTTTCAGCCAAATTAACGATTAAATAGATGTATACCTTCCAGTGAAGCTAGCAATACAGATTTATATCCGACTCGAACGAAATCCCTAAGAGAAAGTCATCAACCACCTTGAATTATTGCATTAATAAGGAATAACGGTGCAATCAAGTTGGAATCATGAGATTGTGAAAATTAGAGGCCTATAGTTTCACATTTTATGGTCATCACATCAATATTTTGCATGAGGTATTAAGCAAGCTGTTTCATTTCCAATCCGCTTCACAAAATTTCAAGATGGATATCCTGTCTTTATTCCAGCGCCTTCAAGTTCGTTCACACAACATTCCCATCTCCATTAGATCATCATTGGCCTTTGCAACTTGAATAGAAGATAATTTGAAACCTAGTAACAAAATTAAGTGTTTGTGCGACCGTTCCTTACCACCAGGTGAGTTTGACATACCGTGTTGACCAAGCTGAAAAAGAATCTAATGAAGATCGATCGATGACTGGGAGTTAATCTTACTTAATCAAAACTTTTGTGACCATGTCATCTAAGTATTAAAAGTTTGATGACCAATATGTAAGTGACTATGAAGTTTAGTGACCTGTAATCCACGCTTATGCAAAGCCCAGCAAAACAGATGAACTGAGTTTCAAGCTCATACAAAGCCATGTCTTATCACAAAAAGGAAAACAAAAGAAAATGATAACTAAAAATTTCCATTTGCTTTCCCCCTCTCCTCAATAATTAATTAAATATATAAAATAATAATTCATTTTCCCATAAAAACAATAATTGATTTTTCTTCCACCTTATCAAATAATCCAAAAAAAAAAAAAATCAGCTTCACCTCATTCATTTTCTTCCCTCTTTCTCTTCTTCCTTCCCCTATTCTCGAGCTTCAGTTTTTCTTTCCCCTTTCTTTTCGCTCTCTTCCTTAGAACTCTCGGAGAGAGACTGAGAGAGGTTGTCTTCTCGCTCGCCTTAACCCTTTCTTCTTCTCACTTTCCTTTCCCCCTATTCCTTGATGCCAACTTCCAACTTCAAGCTAATGTGAAATTCTCGCTTTCCTCTGTTCTGTCTCTCTTTTGATACTACCTCTCTTTTTTACTGGTTCGTTCTTTCAATTGCTGTGTGTGGTGGGATCACGCCGTTTGTCTTTTCCCGCTTTGGGTTCCTGCGGGGAGAAAAGGAGTAGAGAAGTATGAATCCCAGCAACGGAAAGGGATCTGTTTCCACTAGCTCGAGGGTTAGCTGGAAATCTAATGAAGCAGCCCCGGTTGCTGATCAGTTTCCGGTGGGACTTCGTGTTATGGTAGTAGATGACGATCCCACTTGCCTTATGATTCTGGAAAAGATGCTCAGAACTTGCAAGTATGAAGGTAAACGCTAACTTCCCAATTCCTATTTCCCCTCCCAGCTTCCAGTTTGGGTCATAAGATCCTAAGGATGTTCATTTAGATTTGAGATTCGGCTTGCTTGAAGATTAGCCAAAGCTTTGGTTGTTATGAACTTGCCCAATTGTTGTTTTGGGATAAAGATGCCGACTTGGTTTGACTTGGCATGATTTGTTTTGACCTTTTTTTTTTCTATCTCTGATTTATTTTGTTTGTATTCAATTCAGTGAAAAGATGCAGTAGAGCAGAAGAAGCACTCTCAATCCTAAGAGGGAATAGTAATGGCTACGATATAGTCATTAGCGATGTCCATATGCCAGACATGGACGGATTCAAGTTGCTGGAGCATGTTGGTTTGGAAATGGATCTACCTGTTATAAGTAAACAAATTTCTCCCCTTCATTTCTATCTTCACTTTTGATCTCCATAACTCAATTAAGATTCTTATGATTAGTGGGAGTTTGGTGCAGTGATGTCCGCGGATGACTCTAAGAGTGTGGTGATGAAGGGAGTAACTCATGGTGCTTGTGATTACCTGATAAAGCCGGTCCGGATCGAGGCTTTGAAGAACATATGGCAGCACGTGGTACGAAAGCGGAAGAACGAGTGGAAGGAAGTGGATCAGCAGTCTGGGAGTGCTGATGATGGGCAGCAGCCGAAGTACTCGGAGGATGGCGATTATTCGTCCTCGGTCAATGAGGGCAATTGGAGAAACTCCAAGAGAAGGAAAGACGATGATGAGGATGGAGAGGATAGGGATGATACTTCCACGTTGAAGAAGCCTCGTGTTGTTTGGTCTGTCGAGCTGCATCAACAGTTTGTTGGTGCTGTGAATCAGCTTGGAATCGACAGTATGTGTTCTCTCTCCGGCTCTCACTTACTATTTGAGGTCAATTACACTGTCAATCAGGCCTTCAATTTTTGGGTCCATTTCATTAATCTCTATGTATATTTGGTCGATACAATTGTAGAAGCTGTGCCAAAGAAGATTCTCGAGCTGATGAATGTGCCTGGACTCACAAGAGAAAATGTTGCTAGCCACCTTCAGGTATGGCCCTAACTTGATTTAGTCTTTTAATTGGTGGTGTATATGGGAGAGGAGTATTTGGATTTTGCACATAATCAAACAAATGCATAACACATTCGATTCATTTGAGAGTACTTGAAATTTCTCAACATCAAAATGACGTATTTCCTTGTGTTGAGCTTTTTGTCCTAAATTCTAATACAGTATTTGCTCTTGTGAGGTACAGAAATATCGATTGTATCTAAGAAGGCTAAGCGGTGTTTCTCCACACCAGAATAATTTGGGCAACTCTTTCATGAACCCTCAAGACCCGGGATATGGACCATTATCAACGCTTAATGGAATCGACTTGCAAACCCTTGCAGCAACCGGTCAGCTGCCAGCACAAAGCCTCGCCACTCTTCAAGCAGCAGGATTAGGTCGAGCAGTAGTAGCTGCCAAATCCAGGATCCCAATCCCGGTGGTTGACCAGCGGAACCTCTTCAGCTTCGAAAATCCTAAGCTCTCGTTTGGAGACACCCAACAACCACCACAACATTTGAACAATGGGGGGACGCAGATTAACATGCTTCATGGAATCCCAACCAACATGCAGCCCAAGCAGCTAGTGAATCTGCAGCACCAGGGAAATTCACTTCCCACTGTTCAGAATGTTCAAAGTGTACAGAGTGGGTCTCTATTGATGCAAATGACTGATCAACCACCGTTGAGAGGGCAGCAGCCGATGGGTAACTATAATTCAATTTCTCAGTCTTCACCAATGATGAACTTAAGCAGCAGCTATCCTCTCTCGAATATTCAAGCCAAAAGTGGATTTCCAGAAGATTTGACCTCAGAGATGAAGGGATCAACTCCGGGATTCATGCCTAGCTATGACATCTTCAATGAGTTGAATCACCAACAGAAGTCCCATGATTGGGAATTGCAAAATGTAGGGTTAACATTCAATGCAACTCAGCAAGCCAATAATAGCATCGATGTTCTCGGGACTTCAATCGCAGCATCTCATCATTCGGGCTTCTCGTCATCGAGCCAAGGAAGTGGCCTGACCAGGAATGCATCTACTGTTCATGCGAACAACAATAACAATGCAATAAGTGTGGGGCAACATCGTATGAACGTTAATAACTTCTACCCCGATAATAATTCAGTTCGAGTTAAGCTCGAACCTCCATTATTTCCGGAGCAGTTTGGTCAGGATGATCTCATGAGCGCTCTACTCAGACAAGTACGTTCCTTGTCCTTTTTTTTTCATTTTTACTCATGTTCTTATCCAAAACTTTGGTTCAACAATTTGTTTGCTACTTTACTCATGTTGTGATTCGTGTTTTACCACTTCTTGCAGCAGCAGGGACAGGGAGGGATAGGACCGGCGGAGAATGACTTTGACTTCGATGGGTATTCCATCGACAATATTCCCGTCTAGGAATGAACAAACAAGGTTTTAAGCACGCGCGACGATCAAGTCCCTCATGGCGATGGCCACTGCTGAATGTACATACCTGCTGTTGCCTGTGGACCCTCCTGATTTCTCTCTTCAAGGACAGCAGCATAGATATTCAAAAGTTCTAGTAGCTTCTTGGTTAGGAGGAAAGAGTTTTCTGCATTCGACGTAGCTGCATTTCATTTGTGAATATTTGAGGACAAGCTCTCTGCTGTGCTCTGCCGAAGGTGGTGACATGTAGAAGAACAGGAACGATCAAAAGGGTTTACCACCAGCAGCAGCATGATATGCAATATTTTTGGATGGAACTGTTTGGGAGGGAAAGTCCAGCAGAAGCAAAAGAGGAACCAAAAGAAAGCTAATTCTTAGGATGGTGGAAATTTGTGGAGACTTTGTGGTTATTTGGGTTAGAAAAATTGAAATTCAGTGAAGGAGGATTATAAGCTTTCAGTAGAAGATTGCAGGAAGAATGTAGGGCTGCCTTTTCTTTTTTCCACTTTTCTAACTCTAATAACACATTTGTCAGGATTTCTGTTTGTTTTGCTTTCCAGCTTCTTTTCAGATTTGTTATTTGAGGAAACTGACCCTTGAGTTGTACATACTATCTCTCCCCCACCGCCATTTGATTGCTCTTTTAGACATAAGTCCCCTCCTGGTATATTTTCCCCCAGGATGTTCTTTTTATCTTCTTCCCTTTGTACTTAAAAAATGTTGCAGGAGTCTTTCTCATGTTCTTATTTGATGAAAGCCTCTTGCTTTGTGTTTCTGAGTTGTAGACAGAAGCAACATTGTGTATTGACTATTGAGCTTGTCTGTATTTGAGATCTGTTTTGTATTAATAACATGGTACAAAGATGAATAAGCAAGCACAGTGTGATTTAGCAATGCGTCAAGCAACCATACAATCTCAAAAGTTCTCGTCCAGAATTGCCTGTATTGTAGATTGGCAGGTGTTTTTTCTGGTGTCTTGTATAATTGTATTAGTCACTTGAAAATCTAGTATTTGCCCACCTTTATATTAGAGAAAAGAAACATGGAGAATACGGATGACATTTTGAACCTGCTCTATTGGTATTTACTCGATTTGATTTACACTAGATGGGTATTGTCCGGCTCGCAGTGTAGTTGTGTTCTATCTGTATATGTGTCTTGTAAGTTGTGACCAGTAAACTCTAAAGTGAGTCTAAACCCAACAAGTGTAATGTGGTAAAAAAAAAAGGGGTCATGTGTGTCGATAACATTCCTTCCTTTCCAAGAATGAGAAAGTAGTAGATCTGGTCAAGCAGTAAACTTCATCATTATGTGGCAAAATATATTCAAGATTCACCCCAAAGGTAACAAACAGTTATATAATACAAAGACTGATCAGTTCAAGATTGATCTCTATCATAGAATAAAACTTACAAAGAAAGTAGAACATAGTAGCAGTAGTATGAGGAGTAGCACGAGCAGCACAAAGAATCAATCTAGACATCCTGTCAAACATGGAAACATCTCTACAGAGAGTAATCACGCCGTTGTACATTTAGGTTCGATTCAGTATGTCTGCGACTAAGTGCTGATATCAGCTACAAGGGTTTTCAGATAGAGAACCCTATCCTCTCCTAACAAATCCATTCATCGCCAGCCTTCAAACAAACATAACCTCAAGAGTATTTACCAGTGTCGAATTGTTTGCACATCTTCAAAGACTTCTCCAGCGTGGCCTAAAACCCGAGAAAAAGAATGAAAAAATCATCTCATCTCCCCACAAAGTTGCTAGCATAGCTCCTTCATCAATATAGATGCCAGCAGAGCTGCTAGGATAACAGATATGATACTTGCAGGTGCCCTTCTGCTGACAGCACTCGTCGGATACACCGAAGGAAGCGAACACTCTTCACCATTGAAGTACACTTTCGTTGGAAACCCATCTCCTAAAGGCACATTGATCCCTGGTGTAGTCCTCTTAGTAAATGAGATCACCGACTGCTGTTTTCCAGGCACTCGCGGATCTTTACTTGGGTTCAACCCATCAGTCTCACCTACAAGATAGTTCAACCCTGGAAGACCCTGCATGAATATAGTACTGTTGGAGTTCTTCAACATCGTTCCATTAAACGAGTACATGGCCTCAAACCCACCAGCTGCCTTATCCATCTCTGCTGCAACAAACCAATCAGGGAAAGGAATCTCGGCCCAGTTGAAGAGAGTGACCCTAGCACTCCATCCTCGATTGTAATCAGTGTTAATATGCCAGTTAATACTGACCCCACAGTTATCAGGACAAGGCATTGGGTTAGGGACCTGCCGGTGCTTGATATTCGCCCAAGCACTTGCCATGATGGTCCGATTGTCGAAAGGAACCAAGAGAGCATTTGGTGGGAGAAGAACCGGTGGAGCACTAGCACTACAGGTTTGAGCTGCTCGGTTAGGGCAACCGCAAGCACATGTGTTACATGGGACGACTGAGTCGTTGTAAAAGGCAGAGAATGACACACAGCATCGAGGCGAAGATCCTTTAGGTTGAGTGATGTTGCAGACCACCTGCCAGCTGGCAACAGCTGTGGAGTTCGACGGGAGGCCACTTGGGTCTACAAACTCGCTCGGGCTAACCCTCACAGGCGGACCACATTGGTAATCCGGGTTCAAAGTCCCATTGATTTTCCAGTTCTGAGGAGGCGAAAGGTCCGACCGGTTGAGAGTTGGTGGCATTTTGAAGACCTGCATTTGGAAAGAAGATACTGACTTGCTCGGGTCCATGGATGGCGGCAGGATTGTCCCATTTCTGCAGCAGAAGGGGACCATCCCGACAGTTGAGTCGTTGAATTTTGTTGGTGGGAGATCGATGATGGTTGGCCTTCTTTCACAGTTCAAAACAGTGGAGAAGTCCAGCTGCTTGTAGTACTCACCCTGTGGCCCAAATATGCAAGGCGAGGAGTCGACAATCGAAGGGTAAGCGCCCTTCATGGAGAAGATAAACTCGTCCTGCATCCAGTCCCAGCTGAGCTTCCAGTTATCTAGACGACCCAAGTGGTTATGGTTCGTGAGAGTGACTTGTGCCCAGTAGCTGGAATCATATGCTTTGGTCACATCATAGGCAATGGTGAGATCGCCGCTCTGTCGAGGGAGGAAATCACCGTCGAGTAGTGTTATGTTCTTCTTGGCGTTCTCATCTTTTATGCAACAAACAGACATTGCTCCCCCTGGACAGAAAGAACCATAGAGGAAGAAGAATAAACACAAAAGTGGCTTTCCATCAACATCAAAGAGAAAGGTATAGCAAATTCAGAAACTTCTCAGCCAAATGCCAATGCAAACAGAGGAAGGAATCTACGAACTATTGACTATCCATCAGCAAACCACTTTCGATGAAGCCAACGTAACGAACACAATCAAACGAACAGCAATAACAGCCCCTATATTCTTGAAATCGGCAAATTGAAAGCTCCAATTCAAGTCAATCCAAGTCAAAATTCCACAACCCAATTCAATTCCTAGTCTAATGCAATGAACTCCCACAGACCAAATCAACAAATCATCGCCATAATTAGATCTCAATAGAACAGAAACAATGAAGGAACAGATGACTTTCTCATTGAATTTACCTAGAGTGGAAGGAGCAGGACAAGCCCATCCATCATTAACCAACGTAATATTCTCCGGCCAGGGAATTGCCGGCGGCTTCACCCCAAACTGAGTCCCGAGCATCTTAACCTCAACAGACGTCTGAGTCGAGTCCCCGGCGGTCTCAATCGCCGTCTTCAAGTCGGTCATCGGAAACCCAGCGAAAACCGTGCCGTTCCCCACCAAAGCAGGGTAGCTCGACCCATCAGCCAAAATCGCGTTGCTCGCCGAAACCAACACCTCATCGTGCTTGAACCCTACATAGACCTGCCACGACTTGAGCCTCTCGATCCCGTTGTTCTGCACCGTGAGCGTGGACTCGAATCGGTAGGGCTGGTGCTTCGGGTCCGTGGGCGCGATCTTGGATCCGGTCCCTGTACGATAAGACACAAAGATCCCGTTGCATTCGTCGGCAGCAGGAGCCGGCGCCGCCGCCGAGGGCGTCGCTCGGGTCCCGCCGCCGGTAGTCTGGGCAATCGAGCAGATGGGTAGGAAGAGAAACGCGGCGAGAGCGAAGGGAACGAAGAAACCCGGCATCTTTAGTGATTTTGGGCTTCTGGGTTCCGATGGGGGAAGTGACGTGTTGAATGAAGCTGCTGGGTTTTCCCCCTTTTCTAGTGGTGGGGGGAAATGGCGGAAGGAAGGAAGAAGAAGGTGAGGATTCTGGTGGGTAAACGCGTACGGGAGTGGGGATATTGAGGGAGGGAAAGGGGAGAAGCTTGGTAAACTACAGCTGTGGGATTATGCGAGGAAGAAGAGAAAAATATTTGATTTTTGGTTCTGATTTTGTATGTTTTGATGTGGGAATTGGAGGATTTTTCTGAAAGAGGAATAAATTTTGGAGTTATCGTTTATTTATCTTAATAATAAATCTTTTAGGGGAAGAGGCGCTTGAGCCGTCACGAAGTTCATTGGAGTGGCGAAGGAAAGGAGAGAGAGAGAGAGAGAGAGGTGATAGGAGAGAGAAAGTCCCGTTGTGGGAATGGACACTTTTTGGACCTCGCTTTCCTATTTTGAATTCATATTGGGGGAGGATGTGATCGTGTGTGGGAAAGAGTAGGGAAATTAGTGTGGTCACTAGAGGATTAGTGTCACGGACTCGCAATCGTAAGTGTCTAACTGAATCTACCGTGCTGAATTTGTTGAAGGAATCGATTAAGTACGTAAATTGTGTACTATATTTAGTTAGATTATTTTAGTATGTAAATAAACTTGGTTTTGATTTATCGAGCTCGATGCTTCGAATTCTGATTTAGTATAGTCCTAACAAGGAAAAGATTATATACAAAAATGTATCGTGTTGTCTACGGATTATGTTGGTTTGATGAGTATAAAATTTTGCATATGACATTTGTGTGGGATGTCTTTATACCCATTAATTTCCAACTCGCTAATGTATTAGAAATGAGTTGTCGTTTGTTTCATAGCAATGTAATGAAAGAACAAGTTTGTGCACCGAGTCATCACCTCAAGCTAAGCATCACATTATATATTCAAATTTAGGTCAACGTTGTGATAGGTAGGTCGTTCTTTCTAAAGGATGACTTCTCTTGTTCTAAATCGATTAAGATGTTTCCTGACAACACCAACACATAGAAACGTGTACCGCTTGGCTTAGTGCCTCAATGATTAACAGGTTTCACCTATATAGTGCGTTTGAAATGGACAATCATTTGTTTCTTGGTGATGTAGGAAACAAGATCATTTGTCTGCGATCTATGAAAACTGGGTATTGTGCAGAATCGGATGACGACATGGTCATGTTATGTTTAATGTTATTAAGAGAGGCCCTAGGTGATTGCCTAGAACTACTACTACGAATGCACTATTTTGGTTATTTTTAAACTTTGAACTCATATGAATTATATTGACCTTGAAGAATGGTCCTTATTCCTTACACAAGTGTTATGACAACAACCATTGTCGTATGGTTTTATATCCAAGGTTAGCATAGAGTTGATCTAGTTACATTATCTACTGTCATTGAACTGTTTCATGACAACACCAGTGTTATCTAGGTAATTGACACCAAGCATTAAGACCCAATATCCATTATATTTGAGATATTATGACTCATCACGAAATTATAAAATTTCACTATATTTTTTTTCGAAGGTCAAATTATCAGCCTATAAACTGTATCTATTAACAAACGTTCTTCTCTGTCTCACCAATAACAATCAATTCCAAGAGTCATTAGAGTATGAGTATCAACATGTAATCATGGACGCATTCATATTACCTTATGATGAACATAGAATAATAAGTCTTGTTGTATCTCTAAGCATGTAGCCTGGATAGTACAACTGACGAGTTCTAACAAGACTTGAAGCTTCTCTGTGAACGCAAACACATTGCTGAACTATTCTTTACCAACTCTGCTTTGATTCTTCGTCAGTGGAAATGGACCGCCGACCAAGAAGTCAAGCGAAAAGCAAATCCGGGGAATCGAGCAAATCGTTCCCTTTTTCGCGGTAATTTGGAGAAACAAAAGAGGGGATTGGTTGGTGAATTGTTATTTTAAAAGAAAAAGAAAGAAAAAAGAAAGGAATTCGAAGGAAAATACTGTTAATCGATCTGCCTTTCTCTCTCTCTATTGTTTGCGCCCACGTCTTTGCGCCTAAAACGTGTCCACCCGTTTTGTATTTTTTCTTTCTTTCTTTCTTCCTTCATCGTTTGAAAATTTTGGACCAACTCCAAGATCCAAATTGAATGTTTTGGAAGTGATATGTCCTGTTGCGTGACTTGTATAAATAAATATGTTTTTTGTTTTGAAGAATTCTGGTACCAAATTGGTCGAATATGATCAATATATTGAGCAAAGGGATATTGGTCAAAGGAATTCACTTCAAAGGATTCAAACAAATATTACTATCAATCTTAACATGTTTCCCCATAAACTTATCATGCGAGGAGCCGAATGCAAATATAATCTCACACAATAACAATACGCTTCTAATGTTGAATGCAACATTTATATTCATCTCCATTCGATGATTGTTAATATTCTTTTATAAATCAACGATGTTGCTGATTTCTGGAAAAGAACGTCATATGCATATTTGCCACGCTAAACACTTTTAGAATCCCAAATCTAAAGTAATTTTCTCTCCAAAGCAAGACACTGAGTGTGTGTGTCTCAGTACACTTTCAGGCAGCGTGCTCTTTGAAACAAGTAGGGTTGTTAATGAGCCGAGTCCAGTCGAGGTTTGCCATAGTTCGGGCTCGGCTCGTTAATATATTTCCAGACTCGAGCTCAGCTCGTGTTCGTCACGAGCTTTAATATGCAAGCTCGAGCTCGAATCGTTTACGAAAATGAAAGCTCGAGCTCGGCTCGTCAAATAAGGTTAAGGAGCCCAAAATCTAGTTCAGCTCATAAAATGTTCATGATAGCTCAAGATTGACATAAAACTGAGCGCAAAACTATATTCAAACCTTAATATGCAAGCTCGAGCTCGGCTCGTTTACGAAAATGAAAGCTCGACTCGTCAAATAAGGTTAAGGAGCCCAAAATCGATTCTGCTCATAAAATGTTCATGATAGCTCAAGATTGACCTAAAACTACGCACAAAACTACATTCAAACCTGTAGCAAAGTAAAACACAATATTTATCCCAATTTCAATACATAAAATCCATGAATTCTAATTCCTTTTTTATGCCAAACCATTAAATGAGCTTGTTCGCGAGCTTTCAAGCTGAACATGGTATGGCTCGAGTTCGGCTCATTTAGTTAACGAGCTTGTTCGCGAACCGGTTCGATTAAAACGAATCGAGTGTCGAACGAGTTTTTCTTGAATCGCACACCAAACCGTTCATGAGCGGCTTGGTTCATTAACGGCCCTATAAACAAGTTAGGTACTTATGTATGATTCCCAACCGTGAACACGACTCAGTCTACTATTGCTGCCCTTCTACCACACAATCTTGGATAGCATGGCTCTGGATGTACACAAGCCACATAGAGGAATTATGTTATACGAACCATGACATTCATATCTTGGTTAGACGCCAAAAGGGAAGAATAATTTCAAAACTAACCGTGCAACAGCTGAGTTTTCTGGTGATACTACCAATTATATGCATCGATCTCAAAATGATTAGCAAACATTTCAGCAAAATTATCACAAAAATTATGCAAGTAATGCTACAATCTCAACTCTCGGGTAAACATGTTTTTAATGTAAATTCCAGTAGAACCCTAATTAAGAAATGGATCATGCTTGGAGAAACATATCGTGTTGTATTTTCAATAAGTTTCTTTCTTCATTACCAATTAGTTAGTAGTTAGTGACACTTTTGCTCACTTGTGGTTTCAGAAAAAAATTTCCCCCTTTCCCTCATACAGGTGTTTTCCGGCGAGGACTTCCCCAATTTGACACCGATCGATATCGCTAGCTTACATAAAAAAAGAACTACTCCAAATCTCCAATCAGTTTGATCTGCGCGTCACTACATGGCGAGATCACTTACCAACCAACAGAATCCGCAACATCGTAAAATAGCTGATTACTACTAGCTAGATAATAAAATTCCTCATTGGTAATATTAAATATGTGTCATGATTCGTCATTAGTAATGGTATAACCCACTCTCATTTGCAAAGACTTCCACCATCGAGACATGTTCATACATTGTAAGCAACATATTGATTGTTAGAATATGTCACGTTTGAATGGACAAAACTGACTTAATTAAACAATTTCCATCCTTTTCCACCTACTTCTAAACTAGAAGTAGAAATTAAGCTAGCCATTGTCACACTAATAGGTTGAAAGGGTAAACAAAGAACAGGTATAATAAATTAATAATCGACCAATGTAGTGTAAACCATAAAACAAAATGACCATTGTGCATATTTAGTTTTGTTGTTGTTGTTGATAATGCATATATATAGTATTTAAACATTACATTAAAACTTCATAGCGATGAACGGCAGGTCGGTGGAAGCCCAGAGGGAGGAGGAATGTGTCAACTACGTACTCGTTCCAAAATAAAATATACAGCGCTCCACGTTTGTTGCCGCCATTTATGGAGCTGTCCATTTGCTCAGAAAGACCAATAAAAAAACAAATGACGTGGTACGATGGTTTTTTATACACATCTAATATTATATATTTTGTACGTGTCTTGTTCGGCCATTCTGTGCATATACCGCCGGCTGGCTTTCAGAAAACCAGCATTGACACGATTTGCGGCCATTGTTTGTGCTCCTTTTTCGGAATATATATACAGTTTAATCGTTTCACTGGGTGGAGGCGAAGCCTTCCGATGTTGGTAGCAGAAAGTTCCGATTAGTATGCAGGTACCATCAGTGATTTAGTAGGTCCTGTTGTCGCTCAAGCAACATGTGCGACTGAGGTTTCTGGGTTATCAAATAATAAATAAATAAATAAATCATTTCACGACATGGGAGTTGCTCTCTGGGTTCACGTTGATTCTCAGCTTACGCTCTGATTAATTGCTATCTATTTAGTATTTACTGATTCGAGGTGATTTAATTTGCACTAATGGTGGATTTTAATCGGTACCAAGATGGAAATATCGTTAGTATTCCTTAGATTATATATATGAACCAGATTTTATTCATATGTAACTATGTGTACCTACACGACGAGACGTGCTTGGGCTGCTGGCGCGCGTAGGGGGTGTCCATTCGGGTTCGGGTTTGTTTCGGGTTTTTCGGTTTTGCTTATCGGTTCTTCGGGTTCCGGATGAAAACCTCCAATGAATAGAACTCAGCCCGTATTCTTAGTCGTTCGGGTGTTCGAGTTTCGATTTTGCTTTAACCGAACCCGAACCCGATAAGGAATTTTCGGATTTCGGGTAACCGGAACCCGCAAGTCCTTATCGGATTCGGGTTCGGTTTTCAGTGATTTTCGGTTTTGATTTTTTCGGGTTTCGGTTTGAGTAACCAAATCCGACCCGAATTGACCCCTGCGCGCCACATGGTTTGCTCATCATGACACTTATCT